CTGCAAACTTTACAATGTGACAGCCTGGATGGGTAGCTGCACAGTCATACGTGAGCAGAGTGAACAGGAGGGGGCTCAACACACATCCCTGAGGAGAGCCAGTGCTGAGGGTTATGGTGGAGGAGGAGAGGTTGTGGATCCTCACTAACTGTGGTCTGTTTGTTAAAAAGTCTAGTACCCAGTTGCAAATGGAGGGGCTTAGTCCTAGTGTGGATAGTTTGTCCATCAGGGTCTGGGGGATCATGGTGTTGAAGGCGGATGTGAAGTCCACAAAGAGCATACGGACGTAAGAGTTTTTCTGCTCCAGTTGGTTGAGCGCAGTGTGGACCACAGAGGAGATTGCATCTTCTGTTGATCAGTTCTCACGGTATGCATACTGATGAGGGTCCTCGTTGATGTTGATGGTTGTTTTGATGTCAGTCATGACCAGTTTTTCAAAGCATTTAGCGACTATCGGGGTGAGGGCCACTGGCCGATAGTCATTCAGACCAGTCACTGTAGAGCTTTTTGGGACTGGGATGATGGTGGCAGTCTTCAGGCAGGTGGGAACTGTCTCCAGGGTAAGTGAGGTGTTAAAGATGTCTACCAGCACCTCGCAGAGCTGATCAGCACATTCCTTCAACACTTTTCCGGGGATGTTGTCTGGGCCAGTTACTTTGTGCAGATTAATCCTCCTGAAGGTACTCCTTACTTCGGCTGAGGTCACGCTGAGATGCTCTTCATCCAGTGGTGAGGTGAGTCTGGTGCTGGGTGGTCTGTTCGGGTCTTTAAAGCGTGCATAGAACTTGTTTAGGGCATCAGGCAGAGATGGGTCTTTGGGGCATTGTTTGCTCCTTCCTTTATAATCTGTTATGCACTTAATGCCCCTCCACATGCTCCGAGGGTCTTGTGAGATGAATTGACCCTCGATCCTCTGTGCATATGTGGCCTTGGCCCTCTTAATACCAGCAACCAGCTCTTTTCTTGTCCTACTCAGCTCCTCTGAGTTTCCAGACCTGAAGGCAGTGTTCCTGGCTTCCAGCAGGGTGTGCACCTCTGCATTCAGCCAAGGTTTTCTGTTTGGGTAGCTTTTAACATTTCTGATAGTGGAGACTGTGTCAGTACATGTACTAATGTAACCCAGAACTGAGGATGTGTATTGGTCCAGATCAAGCGATCCTCCATTTTCAGCAGCTTCTCTGAAAACCTGCCAGTCTGTTTGGTCAAAACAATCTCTCAGTATGGGGCCACTGTCCTGGATCCAGCATTTAACTTTCTTTTGTACCGGTCTGGAGCGTCTCAGTGGGGGCATGTAAGCAGGAGCCAGGAAGATTGAGATGTGGTCTGACAGTCCTAGGTGGGGGCGGGGTTCGGCTTTGTATGCATCTTTTACGTTCGTGTAAACACGGTCCAGCGTGTGGTCTCCACGTGTCGGAATCGCCACATGTTGATTAAAGCTTGGGAGACAGTCCTTTAGATTCACATGGTTAAAGTCTCCGGCTACAACGTAAAGAACCTTGGTGTGTTTGCTCTGCAGCGAGCTGATGATATCATGTAGCTCCTGCAGTGATTCATTAGCAATTATTGCAATGCACTTTACATAGGTATTAGTGATTCATGTATTTCCCAGCTTCAGAGGGTTCAGAATGCAGCTGCACGACTTTTAACAGGTACACGGAAATTTGACAATATTTCTCCTGTTTTGGCCTCTTTACATTGGTTGCCGGTGCATTACCGGATTCATTTTAAAATACTTTTATTTGTTTTTAAAGCTTTAAATGGCCATGCCCCTTCATACCTGTCTGAGCTGCTACATTCTTACACACCCTCTCGTTCACTCAGGTCAGCTGACCAGTTGTTTCTGAAGGTCCCGAAGACAAAGCGTAAGCTTAGAGGGGACCGAGCTTTTTCTGTGATAGCTCCCAGGCTCTGGAATGACCTTCCATTGAACATAAGACAGGCCTCTTCAATTGAGGTTTTTAAGTCCCTTCTTAAAACTCATCTTTTTTCTTTGGCCTTTTAGCACAATCTGAGATGTTTTACCTTGTTTTATTGTGTTTGTATTTTATTTTATTATTTTATTCCTGTTTTAAATTTTACCCTTCCATTTTATCATTGTATTGTATTATATAATTGTGTAAAGCACTTTGGTCCTGTTGGGTGCATAAAGTGCTCTATAAATAAAGTTGGTATGGTATGGTATGGTATTAGCATTAGCGTCCGGAGGAATGTAAACGACAGTGATAAAAGTCACCGTGAACTTGCGGGGTAGATAATGTGGCCGACATTACACTGTTATTTGCTCCAAAGCCTTCGAGCATGAGCTATTTACAACAGTACAGTTCGTGCACAAACTTTTACTCATGTAAATGCACACTCCGCCTCCCCGTGATTTCCCCGTTAGCTCGCTGCAACGGTCTGCTCGGAAAAAGAGTGTCATCCAGCTGGAAGACTGTATCCGGCGTTTTGCTTGTAATCCATGTTTCCGTGAGGCAAAGCACCGCACACTTCTTCATCTCTTCTGAGGCGCCCGCTCTCAGACTAAGTAAATCCATCTTGTTGTCCAACGAGCGGACATTCGACAGAAAGAGAGACGGCATGGGGAGTTTACCGGCTTTAGCGTTAGCTTGTAGCCTCACCATAACCCCCACCCGGCATTCTCTCCTCTTAAGCCGTGAGCAGCGCTTCCTCTTCTGCCCGCTGGAACGCCTCTGCTGCAGCTTCCAGGTAGATGACTTAAAGATCTGCATTCTGCCGAGCGTAGCTTGTGAGTTTGTTGCTGATTTCTGCTATATTTCGTGGCAAATCTGCTCCTATTCTCATCAGTTCGGTTCGGCTATAGTTCACACGCATAAATCGCGCGGAATCAGGCACAGAGTCAATATCAAAACTTCTAAAAACTGGGATGGTACCGGGAGCCTGTGAAGCTACCACTGCTCTGAGCGTGGCCATCTTGGACAGATGATGAAGTGAATCAGAATATAGACATAAAAACGATGCAGATAATGACGACAAACCAGTGTGGAGCATACAGGATCAAACACAGATCATCTGGTGTTGAAAGCTACTGAATAGTAGTGAGTTTTTAAACGGGACTTGAAAACCGAGAGGGAGGGGGCCAGTCTGACAAGCAGAGGTAACTCGTTCCAAAGTCTTGGTCCTGCTACAGAGAAGGCCCTGTCACCTCTGCGCTTAAGACGAGTTCCTGGAACTGTGAGGAGCAACTGGTCCGCTGACCTCAGGGAACGTGGTGGGACATACGGTTGTAGCAGATCAGAGAGATGGGGGGGGGGGGGGGCGACACGGTCCAGTGATTTGTAGACATGAGTATTTTGAACTAGATTCGAAGGTGAACTGGTAACCAGTGCAGTGAGGCCAAAACTGGTGTAATGTGCTCTCTTTTGCCTGTACTGGTTAAAAATGGGGCTGCTGCATTCTGGACCAGTTGTAGTCGTGCAATGGAGGTCTGACTGATACCAAACAGGAGTGAATTGCAGTAATCAAGCCTAGATGTAATGAATGCATGTATTATTGTCTCCAGGTTCTTTTTGGACAATATGGGCTTCAGTTTAGACAGCCGCCTCAGTTGGAAGAAGCATGATTTAACAATCATGTTTACATGATTGTTAAGTTTCAGGGAAGGGTCCATTATCACGCCCAGATTAGTGACTCTTTGTTTTTCTGACAGGGTTAGAGCGGAGAGGTCGATGCAGTGGTTTGTGATCGTGTCGTTGGGAGGGAACAACATGACTTCAGACTTCTTTTCATTGAAACTCAAGAAGTTTAAAGCCATCCAGTCCCTGATGTCAGCCAGGCAGTTGAGCAGCGGTTGAATAGAGCATGCACCATTGTGTCTTAGGGGGAAGTAAATTTGACAGACATCAGCGTAGAAGTGGAAGGGCATGTTGTGTTTCCAGAAAATAGCACCAAGCAGCAGCAGGTATAAAGAGAATAGGAGGGGACCCAGGATGGACCCCTGCAGAACCCCCCATTTAAGCTCTGCCTCTGCAGAACTAAAATCCTTGATGGAGACACAAAAGGATCTGTCAGTGAGGTAAGATCTGAACCAATTGAGGGCTGATCCTGTGACGCCCACCCACTGCTCCAACCTAGCAATGAGGATCTCATGGTCGATGGTGTCAAAGGCGGCTGTGAGGTCCAACAGGACAAGCAGCACAGAATCACCGGTATCTGTGAATCTGAAGATGTTGTTAAAGACCTTCAGCAGGGCAGTTTCAGTGCTGTGGAGAGATTTGGACAGAAGGTTTGGACAGAAGGACAAGGTTTGGACAGAAGGACGAGGTTTGGACAGAAGGACGAGGTTTGGACAGAAGGACGAGGTTTGGACAGAAGGACGAGGTTTGGACAGAAAGACGAGGTTTGGACAGAAAGACGAGGTTTGGACAGAAAGACCAGGTTTGGACAGAAAGACGAGGTTTGGACAGAAGGACAGCGTTTGGACAGAAGGACGAGGTTTGGACAGAAGGACAAGGTTTGGACAGAAGGACAGCGTTTGGACAGAAGGACAGCGTTTGGACAGGACAAGGTTTGGACAGAAGGACAGCGTTTGGACAGAGCCTTCTGTGTCAGCGCTGTAAGCTGTGGAGCTCGTTACCAGCTGCTCATAACTGACATTAAAATATTCACTTGAAGAATCAAGAAGTGTCTGAAGATGAACCTGACGTGAACTCATTTTAAATATTCTAATTGTTTTAACTCAGTGGTTTTAAACACATTGTTTATATTTATTTTTCATCATTTCATTGTTTTTACTGTTGATCTGAACTTTTCATTGAACCAAAGGTTCATCTAAGGTCGGGGGTCGTCTGTGTTCACTGACGCTGCTTCACATTGTCTTCACCTGTTTCTTGTCCCTGTCAAATAAATGATAAATAAAATTGTAAAAAAAGAGACAGAGACACAGAGAGAGAGACTGAGTGAGACAGACAGAGACACACAGTGAGACAGAGACAGACAGAAAGACACAGACAGAGACACTGAGAGTGAGACAGACAGAGACACAGAGAGAGAGACTGAG